TGTATATATATATTTCTCTCGACGATTCACGGCCCGTTTCCTCCGTTCCAGAAAGAGAAGTTTGTGAAATTATTGGATCAGCTGCACAACTCTCTGCGAATCGATCTGTCGATGTACCGAAATAACTTCCCCGCCTCCAGCCAGGAGAAGCTGATGGACCTGAAGAGCACGGTCGATCTTCTCACGAGCATCACGTTCTTCCGTATGAAGGTGCTCGAGTTGTCCAGTCCCCCAAGAGCGAGCACAGTGGTGAAGGATTGCGTGAAAGCGTGTCTCCGCTCGACCTATCAGTTCCTCTTTGAAAATTGCTTCGACATCTACAACAGGGAGTTCCAAGTGGATCCGAGCGAGACGAAGAGAGAAGCGAAGGATCACAGCCCTTTCTTCGAGTCGCTCGACTTCTGGCACAAGCTGATCGCGCTGTTAGTTTCGGTGATGGAAGAGGATAAGAACAGCTACGCGCCTGTATTGAATCAGTTCCCTCAGGAGCTGAATATCGGTCAATTGTCGGCGGTCACCCTGTGGTCCTTGTTCGCGGTGGACATAAAGTACACCTTGGATGAACACGTGTACCGGAGGAAGTCCAAGTCCTCGGCCTATATGAACCTCCACTTCAAGGTCAAGTGGTTGTACAACAATTACGTGAACGACGTGCCGCCTTATAAGGGCGTGGTGCCTGATTATCCCACGTGGTTCGAGCCGTTCGTCATGCAGTGGCTGAACGAGAACGATGACGTCTCACTGGAATATCTCAACGGTGCCTTCAACAGAGACAAGAAGGACGGAGTGAGTGCCCATGAGAATTATTTATAGCAATTTTATGAAAATCGAAGAAATTCAAGTACGTACCAATAATAGCTGGTTCTTGGTGCGTTAATCTTCCCAAGATCAAAGCTTTTCTTCAGACTGTGAAAGAAATTTGTTTCTATTAATTATTTATGACAGGCGTGTCACGTTAAAGCTTTCGATGAAATTAATCTGACGTTGTATAAATTCGTTGTTCTATGAATTTAATGTGAACGCGTGAAATTCATTGCAGTTCCAAAAGAGCAGCGAGCACGCGCTGTTCAGCGTCTCCGTCGTCGACGTCTTCACACAGTTAACCCAGTGCTTCGACGTGGTCTCGAAGCTGAATTGCCCCGATCCAAATGTCTGGAACAAGTACATGAATAGATTCGCAAAGACCATTGCGAAAGTGTTGGTTGCGTACGCAGACATCATGAAGGATGACTTTCCAAACCACCTGAAGGAGGAACGACACGTACGTACTTCCAACAATCAACTAAAGTTACCAATTGATATATCTCATTGTCCTACAAATAATGAATTGCGCCTACATTTCATTTTCAACTAAAAATCGCGTTCGCTCTTAGGCTTGTATCCTCATGAACAACATTCAGCAACTTCGAGTGCAATTGGAGAAGATATTCGAGTCGATGGGCGGCGAGGAACTGGAGGACATAACGTCAATCATTTTAAAGGAACTTCAACAGCAACTAAATGGAGTGCTCGACGATCTGGCTATGCTGTTCGCGAAGAGTTTGGAGCCGAGGATAACAGTCTCGGTGAAGGAGCTAGGAGATTTATTGTTAAGTATCAAAGGCGGTGGACAAGTGTCGCAGCCTGCGCAAAGGAACAACGTTGCTGCCGATGCCGACGAGGTGCTGCGTCCTCTGATGGATCTTCTTGACGGAAGTTTATCGTTGTACGCTGAGTCCTGCGAGAAGACTGTGCTGAAGAGGCTGCTGAAAGAGTTGTGGAAGATCGTCATGAGGATTCTGGAGAAGACAGTGGTACTTCCGCCGTTGTTGGACAAGAGCGTGCGTTTCCGATTCTCAAAACTTTTACCACTTAAAGAAGATTTAATTGTAGATCTTTTTTTTTCTAGAACAGTAGAAATTTTAATTCTTAAATTACTAGAATATTAAAATTAGAACAATAGAAATTTTCTTAAATCTCATCCCGAGCGTTTTTTTTTTTTTTTACAGATGATGTTCAAGAATCTGACGGACAACGCGAAGAACCTAGCGGCGAACGCGAAGATAGAAGACATGTCGAAACTGTTCAAGAACCACATGGTTGGCAAACCGGATGTGAAGAACGCGCTGAGCGGTGTAATAGTACGTGATTCTTTTAAATACAACAATTTATAACATTCAAGTGTGCCAATTTTTACCACAAATTTTTCACAGTACAAAATATTTCTATTGATGTGTACAAACATATTTTATGGAGATTATTATACGTTCCGTTAGATGGAAAAATTGTAAAATTTTTCTCTAACTTACTAGGATTATGTTTCTTAATATTTTGAAAGCTGTATTCAATTACCGGTGAATAAGAAAATGTCACATTGCTTCAATCGCATGTAATTCGCAGGATATTTCCAAGGAAGTGGAGAAGAATCTGTCACCGAAACAGTGCGCGGTTCTCGAAGTGGCTCTCGACACCATCAAACAGTATTTCCACGCAGGCGGGAACGGTCTGAAGAAGACGTTCTTAGAAAAGTCGCCAGAGCTGCAGAGCTTGCGATACGCTTTGAGCTTGTACACGCAAACAACGGACACTCTCGTCAAGACGTTTGTCACGTCTCAGATCAACCAAGGTAAGTCGATTCTCGGAACACGATTGTCGAAAATGTTCATGAATATTCTCACCCGTGCTGTCAGGTAAAAGAATCATCCAATCACTTGATGAAAAGTCGAAACTATTACTACATAGTCTTGGCAGTTTTATTTATCTTTTATTTACCTGTACCGGCGATTGCACAAGCGAACGCGAAGTTTATTCGCTGTGGATAACGAAAGAGGCGGCGGCCACTACTTTCATCACTTTTGGATGGCTAAATAAAGCATCGCATAAAGAGACTGACCACACACAGTTTTTCCAGCACACAGAACGCATCATCACAGATTTAACGACCAGCGAAATTCCAATCAGAGCTACGAGTTTATTATTCGATCGGTATAACCGAGCGAGAGATATAAACGAGTGCTTTTCAAAAATTGGCTTCCGCTACTAGTCACGTTATTTCGCGAATTGCGAATCGACGATACCTACTGTTACATTGAAACGGTCGTGCGTTGAAGTACAACCAAGCGCCAACCGCGTGGAAATCGAATTCGCGGCTTGATCGAATACTAATCGGATAAAAGACGTGGTAGTTGACTCGTTGTTTGCGATTATCGTTCGTACATGTACACACATACGCGTACACACACACATACGGCGCGACATTTTTGGAAAATTCGTCATTCGTGGTGGGAATAGAACCGACATAATCGAAATTATCGCGACAGTGCCGCTGAACAATGCGTCAAAGCTACGTCAGCGTCAGCGTTCGATGAGCAGCGAAAGAGGTGGTGACGAAGGGGAAGGAGCCGAGGGTATGGAAAGCCTCGAGGAACCCCTTCGCCAGAGCAAGCCCTCTCTTCGTCGAGAGAGTCGACAAGGTACCAGAGAGCACTAGCCACCTTAGAGCAGAAGCCTCGGGAATTCTTCGCTGACTTTCGGCCACTTTTCGAACCTAGGCGCTCGTTTTAGGACGTAGTGAACTGTTTGTGATTGCATTACTCACCGAGCTGTCCTTTCGAGACATTGACAGTGACCATTCTATTGCCATTCGTACGTGAACGTGTCTTTGGTATATCTTCCCGTTTTAATTCGAATTGAAATCGACGGAAATAGGAAGGTACATCTATGACGTGAAAGAGAGATGTCTTTGAAGTTTTAAAGATGAACGATATCGTTTTTTTTCTTTTTTTTTTTTTTTGTAATAATCTAATTAGAAGTTTAATAATTTTGCTGTACTTTGGAAATTAAAATTTTTTTTTTTTTTTCAATTCAACAAGCGTCCCGAAGACTTCTCGGTGATCGATAGTTGTATTAGGTAGCGCTGCTGCTGTCACTATTACTGCTGTTGCTGCTACTACCGACTTGCAAAACAACGACCGTAGAAAATGGCCACTTTGTAATAACCATATTCTGTGGTGTGACATTTCAAGAAAAGAAAATTGTCCGTCATATTCTGAATAACGATCAATTGAAAAGGCATTGTTTATCTCTGGTTGAGTTAATCGTAACAGTATAAAAATATATATGGAATTATACAGAAAATTGTACGAAAGGTTGCCGTTTTCTAACACTGTGTTTTACACTAAGCATTCCTTTAATCATCTTCTTTGAAGCTTTTACACACGTACACGTAAACACCAATAGACTTTCAATCAATTTATCACTGGCAATTCACCATTTCAACACTCTTAGTTTATTATAATTGTATTATTTCTATTTGTCATACGAGAGGTATACCTACAGCTATCTAATTCAACCAACACCTGATTGCAATGATTCATCCTGTTTTACAAGCCTGTTGTACAACCGAACCGATTGATCATCAGCTATGAAACGCATAATGCGAATGTTACAATCTTCACGTCAAGCAGAGAGCAACGAACATAAATTCTCGAACAATTTAGTCAAGGAGCGATAAGCCGATCAGTTTAACCATTAATTGTGCGTCAAAATCTTTCGAATTCTATATGCTTGAGGTCCTTCGTGCGCCTCTTGAGCCACTTGGACGCAACTTCGTCTTCTCTGATGAATGCTCAAAGAGACAAAGTTACCATATATGCATACGATTAGAGCATGTAATCTGCTCTAGAACTAGACATTAATCATAGTATCTTAGCATCAGATCTCAGAACTTTTAGCCCCGGATAGCGGTGACCGAAGCTATATTTTCCTCTCTCTTGTAGTAGTTAGCGACTAGCCTACTGGAGATTTCAATGTGAGATCCAACTGTTGTCGTTGATAAAGTTCCAGATACTGCCGGTACAGAAGAGAGCTCGGTTGGAGAAGTCAGTATTCAAGTGGACCTGTTCACACATCCTGGAACTGGCGAGCAGAAGATCACCGTCAAAGGTACGTTTCCTTTCACATCTTATATCATAAATTATACAGTCTACATATATGACTTTACACCGTCATATTTGCAACAACTATTTATTTATTATACTGTATAAATATATAAATTACATTATATTATAACATATATTTTAATTAATAGTATAATTATATTAATTGTAATCAATTAGATATTTTATTACAAATATATGTAAATAGTTGAATGCTACATTATATTTAAAGTACTTCAGTGCGTTGAAAACATACGAAAGCAAATGGCTTAATGATAATTTTACTTTGCAGTTGTCGCTGCGAACGATTTGAAGTGGCAGCTTGCTTCAGGAATGTTCAGGCCGTACGTTGAAGTGAACTTGATCGGGCCACATCTGACCGGCAAGAAGAGGAAGCAGTCGACAAAGTCAAAGAGCAATAATTGGTCGCCACAGTTCAACGAGAGCTTCGACTTGTGAGTGTCTCGCCTTCTCTCACCTTGGATCTTTTCCATTTTATTTTAAAAACTTTTTTAACTTTCGTAGCTATGATGAAAAGAGGTAATCACCGTGTACAGGTCAAATTCTTATTTTTGATTTTGAAATACCATCTGCAAAGTATTGATTTGAAAGTCTTCCAAAGTATTTCACCCATTTGTATAAAATATACGGTGTCAATCAACGTGTTCATTTTCTCACATTATTTTCAGCATGATCGGCAACGAGCAGCAGCAACTCGACTTCTACGAGTTGCACATCTGCGTGAAGGATTACTGCTTCGCGAGGGAGGACAGACTGGTCGGCGTGGCAGTGATACAGCTCAAGGATATAGTCGAGGAAGGTTCGTGCGCGTGCTGGTTGTCGCTCGGCAAACGAATCCAAGTGGACGAGACCGGCTGGACAATCCTGAGGATTCTTTCGCAGAGGAACAACGACGATATCGCCAAGGAGTTCGTGAAGCTGAAGAGCGACATCAGGCAGGAGACACCGTTACCGAATCCCACCTGAAGCTCTGGATTGAAGCGTTAAAGCCACGACAGCGAAGCGATGCGATCCTTCGAGTTTGGAAAGAGCTCGAGGGAGGAGAAGGAGAGGGGCATTGTCCACAGGGGATACCAATATAAGCGTTCGGCCGTCGTTGTCGAGAATGAAGTTTTTCAAACGAACAAACAACCAACCAA